TGATAATAAACTTTGAAAACGCTGTATTTGGAAAATTAAAGGTCAAAAAAGGATTTTCTACCCAAAAACATCCTTATAATTTGCTTTATCTGATTTGGAAGTTGCATAATGGCTATAGTGAAAGCAATAAGGATAAACTGATGAATATGAAATCATCATATATATCTGATTTATATTTTAAACTGTTTGGTATTCACTTAACTAAATTTCAAAAACCTCTATAGCAATGGTAGTTATATGAATTGCAAGTGGCAAGGCAACTAGTGGAAAGAAGAGAATATATAGAAAATTTTACTTTTTGGTTTTTAAGTAAATTAAAATTACAAAGAAAAAAAATACCTAAACCATATATTGAAAAATGGGAACTCCTTCAACAATGGCTCATAGATCCAGTTCTAAAAATACATATAGAATATCTCATAAAATTTGGTGAACAAATTTACAAGCTATTTATGAATTTTCTTATTGGATCTGACAAAAAACTACAAGTTCTTCAATCGGATAGGCAACTATTACTACTTTTATCTAGCTAACGCGCTCATGAAATACCAGATGCAGTTCTTAAATAGTTGGGAACTTTATACAGAATTAGAGATAATGTTTGTTCATTTTTTGACACGGAGTTATGGAATACTATTGATAACTTAGATGACAAGGGTTTTGAAAATTTCTTTAATAATTTAGTATTTGGTATCGATAAGGCTACAAACTCTTTAGTAACTTGGATGGGTATGTGGCTTCACCTTCTATTAAGTATTTGCCGGTTAGGTGGTAAATATGGTCATGAATTTGCTAGAAGTTATTTGTATGTAAGATTAAAAAGAAAATGAAGCAAAGTTTCTAATCTTAAAGAGTTGTGTTATACAACTCTTTTAAAATCAGATATCAAACAGTCTAATTCTGATGATTTTGGTTTGTTATAGGCAACTGAAGATTCATTATTTTTAAAAGAGTTATTAGATTTTGCTAATTCTGATGAATTACCAATTCACGCTTTTCCTTTATTATATAAATTTGTCAAATGTCAAATTTATTATATTGTTATTCATCAGCAGCAGGTCGAGGGTTTATTTAATAAGTATGATCTCAAGTGTCATACAAACATGAATTTTGAGACCAAAAAAGTAAAACTACGCCTTTCAGGTGTTAAAAAAATATCTATATCGGATGAAGAATTAGCAACTCAAAAAAAAAATAAAAAAAGAAAATTAGATGAACAGGACAATAAAAAACAGGTAACGTTTGAAGAAATAGAAGCAGAAAAATTATTTGATAGTTTGTTTGCTAAATAAAGAAAATAATTTGTAAAAGTGAATTTTCTGAATTTTCTGAAATTATTAAAAAACCAGTAAAAAATCCTCAATAATAAATAATATATATAACCCTACTTATGGTTTGATTTTACTAGTATGATGATCACCCTATTATAACGAGTACAGCATAATACAGGAATATAATAGCATAAGAGTTAGTAGATTTGGGATGAACATACAGTAATATAAAAGTCAAGTAAATTCGGGATATAGTATAAGAGTTTGATAGATTCGTAATGTAGCATAAACGTTTTGTAGATTTACAAAGCTTGATACTAGTACGAAGTTTTATAGCAGTTAGCATTATATTCTTATTATTGTAAAGATTTTCTAAACATCAGCCTAACTGATTTTATTAAATATTAGCCTATTACATAAATTAAATAAATTTTAATTACATATATCATTAAGTACAAACATTTTCAGATACATATAATACAAATCATACATATTGTACAGCTTGTATTGCTTCGTTCCCATTTACTAAATGCCTAACTTTAACCTTAGTTCTCATCTTAACTCTAAGCTAACCCAATGCTAAAGCCAATGCAAAAAGCCAACAGCAAACACAAACACGACAGAAATGTCGCTAATGGCACCAAAGAGTAACATACAATGGCATCTATTCCGAATAATACCTGTTACCTAAAATGAAGAGTTAGCATATACATGAATATGACAATTAAACTGATAAAAAAAAAAAAGCACACAACCTAATGCCGAATATATTTCCAAATCGCTTGTAATTGAAGAACTTGAAATCAACCGCCAGCTGAATGAAACCCGAAGCTATAACCTAAAGAAAGAACAAAAAAAATAATTCAACAAATCGAAAGACATAAGAAACTTATCTGTACGCTCTCAAATCTGAAGAATCAAAGCCAAACCGTCCAAAAGAGAAAATCCAAAGCTGTAACTAGAAGAAAAAGTTTAATACTATAATACAATAAAACAAAAAACAAGAAAAAAAAAAAAGAACCAAAACTTATATTACGTATGACCTACCGCCGATTACGTTCTCAAATCTGAACTCAAAACCTAACCACTTGATGAAAGAAACCCAAAGCTATAGTCTTAAGAATGAAAAAAAGGTTAGTACTATAATATAACAAAACAAAAGACAAAAAAGAGAACAAAAACTTAGCTGTACACAATCGAAGAACACGAAGCTCAACCGTTTAACAATGACGATACCAACATGACAATTATGATACCAACGAAGACGCCAACGAAGACGTCAATGACGATACCAATTACGACATCAACGACAAAGCGACACTAAAAAAAAAGTCGATTAGTAAAAAGAAAACGATACAAAAAAAACTACAGAACTAAGTAAAAAGCTTTTTTATTTAACGATTTCAGGATTTGTGATCATTCTTGGATCATGCTTTGGAAATTTCCAGAATCGATTAGTTGATAATCTATTTCTATAAAAGGTATGATCAATGCTATCTATTTATAGTATATTCCCAGACTGTAATATTATTAGTCTAATTTATAGTATGTTTAATAAAAAGTCAATAAATATATATGTATTTACCTTGATCTTGACTTTGAACATCTTGAATGTGTTCATGCATCATTTGGTCTTGTTCTTCAGTACCTTCAGTACTGTCAACATTAATTGATTCATTACTAATGTTGAAACTAGCCATCCTCACTAAATCATCATTCTGCAACATATTAGTTGTTTTTTTCAACACTTTTTTTCATGTGCTATCATTGAATGCTGCTATACATTTTTGACACTTCCATCTCTTTGTTCGTGGTTTTAGTGGATTATTGATTATTTCATAATTATACTCATTGTCTGACTGCAAAACGTGTCCTTCCTGCTCTGCTAGTTGTTTTTCCATCTTATTGATGAACTGCTAATGTAATTCACAGAGCTCTTTAGTGCATCTAGTTTGGATTGCTAAATTTAAAGTTCTTTTCATAAAACCAAAACCTTTCTTATAGAGAGCATGACTTCTTATATGATATTGTATCTTGGGTATAAAAACACATTGGCCACAAATCAAATCGATTAAAGAAAAGTCAACTTGGACATCATTCTCAAATGCACCAAATTTTTCCCCACTTCGAATTAAAATTGCACGTTTATTACTATAATCATCATTTTTTAGCATGGCTCAATCGTTAAACTAACGTTTTGCTAGAATTCCAATATGAAATTGTGCTATTTCGCTTTCCAATAAAATGGCAAAAAAATGATGATATATAATACCACAATTTACGAGTGTTAAACATGTACACAAGTGACTTGCATTTCTAAAGAAAACAACAAAATGGTGCTTTTGTTGGTCAATACATGATACTATCCAAAGCTCTTTGATATCACCAATACTATCAACAAGTTCTGTTAATTTAATGAGCATTTTATCATACAAATCTTTACTAAACATGTCTTTAAATGTATCCTAAATAAAATAAAAAATATTAAATAACTCAAATAACACACTAATGGGTCAAACGACAAGTTAAAAATTTGATAAAATTAACAAATAGATCAAACCCATTTGTTAATTTTATCAAATTTCTAACTTGTAGTTTGACCCATTAAAAGATGATTTAAAGACAACAACTAAGCTCATGACTACTTTTAATATACCGGTTTATTAATATTTTCAACATGAGCTTGTTGTTGTAACTCAAACTCCAAATTTGTATGATAAGCTCAATAGTAAAGGCATTGATCTATTTGATTCTACTGCAACTTTTGTATTGCCGGTATAAGAAATTTAGTGCAAGCCTTATCAATCGCCATAAAATAGTGATCTCAGTACATTGCATGCATAACGCGTAGTAGCTCTCCATTGATCTCATTGAATCTCACAAACTGTGACTTCTTTATTAAATGCTATTCGATTATACTTACTACTTCCATTAATAAGGTTGCTCTATTAAGTGATTTCTTCAAAATCGCATTGTATATTTCAACTCTTTGAGTTGATTGAATACCACAATTAAAAGACTGATGTGTGAAAGCAAGAACTCATGCTTTACAATGAGAATAAAGCTGATGCCTTAGATAAGATTGTGTCTCAGGAAATAAATCCAAGACCTGTTGCCACTTTCTCTCATAAATAGTTTCAGTGGTGCTATTGCATGCCTGACAAAAACTTAAAAAGAAATCTCTAAACTTTTCTCTACCAAACTTAGAGAAAAAATGTTTTTCAAGATTTTTCTGTATGTGAAACAAACAGAAATAGTGTTTTGTGCTGTGCCATACATTTTTAATTGCACCAGTAATTGCTAGATCCGCATCCGTATAAACAACTTTAGGTTTTAATCTTTCTTTATAAAAAAAAAAAAATTAACTAGTATATACTACAAATTAATTATAACAAACATACTAAATAAAACAATAAAAAGTCAACAACCTGTTGCATTAAGTAGCCCTTGTAAAATCCATTCAAACGTTATTTTTTGCTCATCTATAATTAAGGCTGTAGCAACAAGTCGTGATCTATTGTAGTTATCTATACAAACTACTATACACATGATTATATTGAATCTATTTGTTTTACAGATCATGTCAAGTAAAATAACATCATGAAAACGATACCAAATATCGATTTGTTTGGGGTGCAACCACAAAAGCCCTACAAAATGATTATCACTTCCCTCAAATTTTGTATCAACATACCAACTGGACATCTTCTGTTTTCAATGCATTAGCTCTTTATAGATAGCACCTGCATTACTTAATTTTCCCTTCTCTGCTTTTACCACTTGAATAATATTGTAGACACTACGTGCATGGATATATTAATCTAGATATTTGTGTATCAATATATTAATAATAGCCCCTGTACATACACCACTAGTAGCAAGAAGTTCGATATCATTACGCATTTCAGATGTAAGGCAATGATATTGAGATATAGCCATTTGGATGTTATCGCTCATTGGATTTAAATGCTCACCAATTATACCCAAAATATATACTTAATTATCACTTTTCCATCTTTGAAAATTAGGATGATATTCACAACCACTATTCTCATGTGCTTTATTTCTTTCCTCTAACATATGTACCTTTTTTTTTGCTTCGTAATGACACCCTTTGGAACAATAGTAAACCTAATGTCTAGGTATTCCATCATTCTTGTCTAATTTACTTTTTACTAAAGAAAAAGCAAAGCCTCATTCACGACCATGTTTGTCAAGCCAACTTTTATTAATTAATACCTGTACTATATATGCATAAAAAAAACAAAATTAAAATAAAATATTTAACTTACTTTTCAATATCTTTCTAATCAGTAAAACTTTGCCCTTTAGTTAAGGGATATAATCCCTCCTCTGAATCAGTCAAATCAGTTTTAGCCTCAAATTCTACTAAGCTATTACTTTTCTCAGATTGAAGTTGCCCATAAGAATCCAGAATTTTGTCAAATATATTTGTTTCAACATTGCTAATAAAACGCAGATTAGCTTCGTTAAATTCGTCATCACTTGCCATTTCAAAAGCTATATAGTGCTGTATAAATAATTAAGTATATAAGTAATGTGGTTAGATGGTTATGTACAATAAGAGACAATAGCAGAGTGCAGTCCAAAATTTCTGCAAATCATGTGTGATGATTGTTATTCGGTGTAACTATCAGACCTATTAAGCAAAGTGTTTTTTAAAACTTCTAGCAAACATTTTTCAATACTTATTTGATCAAATTTGGTAAATTTTTTTTATTTTAATTTTGCACTTTTGTAGAATTAAAATAAAAAAAAAATTATCGAATTCTGTTAAGTGGTTATTGAGGAATTTCGAGAAAAAGATTAAAATTAGATTCTAATATCAAGCTAAAATCAGGTGAAGTTTTCCTTTTTTAAATTTTAAATGTATATTTTTTAACACCCAACTAACAAAATTTGATTAATTTTTTTTTATTTTAATTATATAAGTTCATAGAATTATAGTAAAAAAAAATTCATCGAATTTGAATAGTTGGCTATCGAGAAATATTCATTAGAAGTTTAAAATGAAGTTTAGCCGCAGCTCTTTATTTTATAATGCTTAAACTTTGAACGATGGTTACTCAACACTTACCTAACTAAATA